TGACCCAGAACACCGTCACCACCGTCAGGGTACTACGTACACCGCCACGCTGACACCACAGAAGAAGAGAGGCCAACAAGACAGCTGATTAACACAGAAGTAGAGAGGCCATCAAGACAGCTGATTACCACAGAAGAAGAGAGGCCAAAAAGACAGCTGACCACCACAGACAGCTTATAAGCCACAGAATAATTTTTTTAAATGATATCGTTTCACTATAATTGAACATTAATTGAACTTTAAAGCAGCGTCATGATATCAGCTGTTAATCTGATGTAATACATCCTGTTTTCTTAAATTCAGAAAAAATCTGAATTTTCTGATAGTAGTATAATACTTGAATTCTGAAATTTGCAAAAAAAGTCTGCATTTTGAGAAAAAGTCTGAATTTCCAGATTTTTGGGAAAAAGTCTGAATTTCCACATTCTGAGAAAAAGGTCTGAATTTTAGGAAAATTGTTGAATTCTGAGATTTTCTAAAAAAGTCTGAATTTTCAGAAAATCCTAACCCTCCACGCTGAACACCACAGAAGAAGAGAAACCATTGTTTACAAAGGCAGTTTATAAGCCACAGAATAATTTTGAAATGATCTTGTTTTAACTTGAATTGAACTTTAACGCAGCGTCATGATATCAGCTGTTAATCTGAAGTATTACATCCTTTAAGTGTTTTCTCTAAGAACCTTTAGGACCTTATTAATGTAAATAAAAATGTGTTTCTGATTTGAACCTTTGTGCCTCTTCAGACCTGCTGTATATATAAACTTAACTAATGTTATTTAACACAAACATTAAACACGTATTCACAGTATTTAAACTTCTGCAGTATGTATGTATAGTTTACATGTATTTTTATGTTTGTTTATAATTTCTGACAAATAAAGAAACAACTTGCAAATGTTGTTGAGAAAAAATATGAATATTTTGTTGTTAAATAATAGATTCTCTGCAAATTAAAGTTATATTTTAAATATTATGTTTGTTTGTATTTAAGTTGGCCTCTTAGATCAGTGAATGTGACACTTAAGAACAAAAATATAAACATTTTGAGAAAAAAGTCTGAATTCATTTTTTTTTTCAAAAACTCTGAATTTACAGTTTTTTTTATTTTTGAAAAAAAGTCAGAATTTGTAGATTGAGTAAAAAAAATATTTTTGAAAGAAATATGATTTTTCAGATTTTGGAAAAAAATATGAATCTTTTGATTTTTGAAAGAAATCAGAATTTGTTGATTTTTTGAAAAAAGTCTGAATTTTCAAATTCTGAGAAAAAGTCAGACTTTTCAGATTTTCAGAAAATAAGTAAAGTTAAGAAACGTTGATATTTATACATTAAAAACACCAAAACTCCTCTATTTATGAAAATCTGATAAATGTAATTTTGTAATTTCAACCGAAGGATTAATTGCAGAGAATACTTAATTGTGAAATTAATTGTAAAACAACCAGATGGATTTATGGAGAGTGAACAGACCCAAAGTCAGTCTGTTAATAATCTTTGTATTCATAGACTTTATTTGCAACAGTCAGTTTTATTTTGTTAAAACAGGAAACGCGTTCATTACAACCGTGCGTACCGTGAATCTGATAATGTGGGACACAACAAAAAACAATAAAATGAAATGAAGTAAAATAAACTGAAATAAAACATTAAACATAAAAAGATTCAGTCAGTAAAACGAAACACGCAAACTGTAAACAAAAACAAGAAGTTTTAGTGTTATTACTTTTTTTCCACGAGCCGTTAATTTAAGTTCAACCGCAGACTAAACTAAAAAACAGGATTAAACATTTAAACAGAGTTACAACAGAAACCAGGATTAAACCACATTGTAACTGAAGTTAAAGAAGGTTTGAATCTTAAATCAACGAGAGTTAAACCTGAAACTAAGGATTCAATCTGGTTAAAACCATAGTTGGACGAAAGTTGAACCTTGATTAAACAAAGTTAAACCAGGATTACAATTCTTGTGGTAACATGATTAAATATGAATTGCACTGGAGTTAAACCTGAAATGAACCCGAGTCAAACCAAAGAAATTAAACGGAGATAAAATGATGTTAACATGGAGTTAAAATAACAGAGTTACATGTAGAAAATACTGAGTTGGAAATACACTTATCTTTAAGTTATCCTGGAGTTAATGTCAAGATTCAAGCGGAGTTAAACACTTTAAAGTGGTTACACTGAAGGCATATAGATATACTGGAGTCAACAGTTATGATTAAGTCCAGCTTGGATTAAAGTAGAGTTCAACTGGTTTTAGAGTAAATATGGAGTTAAAGTGGTTTTCAAAGTAGAGTAAACATGGATTTAAAGTGGTTTTCAAAAAAGAGTTTCAGTCGAGTGGAATTTCAGCCCTTAAATAAAACAAACAGGATTCCTTAACACACATCAAACCTGGTTCCACCTGGTCTGACCTCCACATGATTAACAGTCAGACATTCAGAGAACCAAAAAGTGCCTTCAGTTGACTCAGCAGAAAACAGACAGACAACGAGTCCGATAGAGTCCGGTAGAGTCCGTTGGAGTCCGATAGAGTCTGGTGGAGTCCGGTGGAGTCCGGTAGAGTCTGGTGGAGTCCGGTGGAGTCCGGTAGAGTCTGGTAGAGTCCGGTGGAGTCCGGTAGAGTCTGGTAGAGTCCGTTGGACATCAGGAGAGTCTGGTAGAGTCTGGTAGAGTCCGATAGAGTCCGGTAGAGTCCGGTAGAGTCTGGTAGAGTCCGGTAGAGTCTGGTAGAGTCCGTTGGACATCAGGAGAGTCTGGTAGAGTCTGGTAGAGTCTGGTAGAGTCCGATAGAGTCCGGTAGAGTCCGGTGGACATCAGGAGAGTCCGGTAGAGTCCGATAGAGTCCGGTGGAGTGTGGTACAGTCCGTTGGAGATTAGGAGAGTCC